TATATATATATATATATATATATATATATATATATATATATATATATATATATAAATTTTATTAAATTATTTGAATTGTGATTTTGTTAAGAAGAAAAATAAATTTTTCACAGTAATATATCGGAATGTATAGATTATACATTATAATGTATAATGTACATTATACAGTACAATGGCATAAAACTGAAACATTCTTATGATTAGATACATTACATGCTTATTTGAGCAGATTCCTTGAATTTTTAAACACTTCAAAAATAATATAAATCAATATTACTACGTGTTATATACAGTGAACGAAACATGCGAAGGTATAAAAAGTTGCATAAATAGAATATTTCAAGATCTATGCGTTCTATCATCATATTTATGTGACAAATGCATATCACATAGTCTCAAATCATATATATCTATGTATGTTAGTCAGGATATTCTGGAAATGTCTTTAATATTTGTATGGAAAATAAAAAATCATAATTATAACCAAGAATAATAATTATAACTAAGAAACAACCGATTTTTGGTTTCAATTTAAATTGCAACTTACATGTCACAGAATTTACATACAGATGACATAAAATTATTAGGAATATTACAATTCTGTATAAAAGAATAATTATAAATTAATATTAAAGTTACCTTAATACATATAACCCTACATATAACACCATGTAAGAAATAAAAATTGGATTTAACCATTTATAGTAGTGTTGTTCATTACCAAATATTTATAGTTTAGTTAATATAAGAAATAAATTAGATTTTCTTTCTAGAAAAGAATTTGAATTAAAATTCTCTAAATTATTATAAGACTGTGAGTTAAACATTATTTTATATATATATATATATATATATATATATATATATATATATATATATATATTATTTTCTAAAGCATGTTTATTGTTTAGAGCCAGAGTATGTATGAAGTGATAACGATTCGCTGTCTCAAAAATTCGACGCTGTTCCTGTCCTTCCTCATTTTTGGAATATTGTCCTATGAAGTAAAACATGTATAGTTCAAATCTGATACTCAAATCATTTATTTATTTATTTGTAGGTAATATCTCTTTTTGAAAAAAATTAAAAATAATAAACACAAATATAGCTATATAGTGATGTAATTACTGTGAGATCCAATAGCACCAAGCACTACAGCCATTGCTCCGCTCAAAGCTGCAAACTTAACATATGGTCCACTCGCAGCAGCTAATTCCCATATAGGTATAGGCTTAGCCATTTTCACTTCGTTGGCTTTTGGTTTCAATCCCAAATGTTCTGTGGCCTATGAAAGATTGTAATTACTAAACACCTTACTTCTGATTTTTAGAGGAATAAAGTTGTATGTAGCAAAAAATAATATGTGAAAGTTCTTATGCCATTAGGATATACTGATAATGGTTGAAGCAGTTGATAAGTAATCAGAGTTGACAACTGTAAGGGATTTGCTCTTGTTTATAATTATGCTTAGAAACTCTAAAATATAATTTAATAACAATGATTCAAATATAAAATAATATAATAAAATATAAAGATAATTATGTAAAACATACTCCAGTTTGAAAACTTTGACTATTATGACACTTCTGAATATCTAGATAAAATATACCAACGTTAGATAGATAAAAGTACTTGGAACTTTATACGTAAGTATTTAAGATAGAAAAAGCTACACGCAACATAATATTGCACATTGTAATAGTATAAAATATGAGAAAATTTGTGGTTTAAACACCAAATAACAATTATATCATTACCAGTACTTAATTGAAATTAACTATATTTTATCAGTCCAACAATATATATGAGCAAAAATATGGAAACTATAAAAACACTTGAAATTACAGATAAATGCCTAAGATGGTAAAAAGCTATCTATTTATAGCATTAATGTACACTAGCTCAGAAAATTCTTTGAAAAAGAACAGACTTAAGACAAACGTGAAGAAAGTGCGGGACGTATAATTAGAATTTATAATTTAAAAAATAAAATCAGGAGAAGAAAATATATAGAGAATTTTTGTAATACTGTCTTTCAATAAACATTAAAGTCAAGCGATTGAGTCTAACGACGAAACTGGGCATTCGCATCGTTCACTGTAACGCTATTCAGATAATGTGCGACGTTATTTTTGAGTAACGTTCATAAATAATAGAAAGTTTTTGCAATACCGTCTTCCAGATACGGTAATGCTAAAGTACGTTCTGATATTCATCACCAGTACTACAAATATACAATTTGAATCACTATAGATTTGAAGTATTGACACTGAATATCGGAACGTACTTTAGCTCTCGTTTTTAATTTCACTTTTTACATTCCTTCGTAATGCCACTCTTTCTTTTTTCTATTCCATATTCGAATGCGCAATTACCTGATATCGATATAAAGCGGTGCGAAGCGTGATATACAAGGCACGAATATGGTTTAATTATGAGACAATCGGTGCGAAATAAGCGCGTCAGCGGCGTATCAGATGACAATTAATAGCTGTATATGCGAATTCTTTTACAACTTACCGCCACAACGGCATACCATGCGTACGAAGCGCTCGCTTTACTCGTTTTATAAGCGACATTAAACGGTGTCGTAGTGATCGTATACAATATGTCTTGAAAACTCATATTGAATCGCGCTAACACTGTGCAGAAGCTAAATACACCTATTAAATGCTTATTATACCACTACCGTAAACTTTCTCGTCGACTCTCAGCAAACTTTGCACTTGTACGATTTTTTATCATTGACGAAATATTATAGAGAACGAATACGAGCGACACAAATTTGAACTGTGATCTTGGAGACCTCATGTGGCGAAGCGTGAAAGTTTTATTTCAAGATTACGTTCACGGCATTTGGTGCTTTCCAATTACTTAACACATCTTGACACATCATACAAAACCAGTTTATTGGTCATATATTATCTAAAATATCTTGTAAGATAATATACAACCAATAAACTTTTGTATAACACAGTGTACGCAACTGGGCCCTTATTCTTGAAATAGTTGCGTATACGTAAGTTTTATTGCGCAGGTTTAATCATACTATAAAATAGCTGCGCAGTAAACTTACATATATGTAACTATTTCAAGAATAAGGGCCCTGGAAAGTGCGCGCACCCATTGATCTCTAACCATATTGGCTTGGTTTACGGAGGATTCACACCGCGTTCGATGTACGATGTCAAATAGAACAGCTTTCCAATGGAGAATTAAATTCTCTATTATAGCGTGTTTGACTGGCTGGGTTAATCGCTCCGAGAGCGATGACGTCATAAGTCTCTACTAGCCAATTATAAAGCTTATAAATACTTGTTCGACCAATAAACGTAGACTGAATAACCTAGAGTGAGTTACGACCTAACCAGTCGAACATGCTATTAGAAAGCTATTCTCTTTATGGCTCCTGCACACAGGATGCAGTAATGCTTACCGCGGCAGAATTCACACGACAGCCAATTAATATGTTGTTTTTCCGTAAGAGCTAGAAGGTTATTACAGAAAGCAGCATATTGATTGGCTGTTGCGTGAACTTCCGCCGCGCGGCGAGCATTACCGCGTCCTGTGTGCAGGAGCCATTAGGCTAATATTTCACATGTCAAGTGATATATCAGCCTATACGACAAGTTTTTTGGATACGTTCATTGGTTGACGAACAGAGAACCTAGAAATACTCTATTCGCCAACCAATAAACATATCCGAAAAGCTTGTCGTACGACACGTGAAATAGCACCCTTATTGGATATCGAACGTCGTACGTCGGACATCGTACGCGGTGTGAATCTTCCATAAGAGAATACACGTACATGTGCGTGCATGTAGTGTTTGAGGATGTGAAAGTTGTTTTATTCTTTTTGATAAATATATAAATAATATGTTTTATACGCTCATTGAATAATATTATAAATATTAAATTGATACGTCCAAAAGAACTACAATGAATCGACCTGGTAAGATAAATTAAAACAGAATGTAGAAGTAACCTTAAACTGTTGTGATTCGAATTACTTTTATTCCACTTTTAGCGGATACAGAATATCATGGGAAGGCACCAATTAATAAGGAAGCTTTAGCGAGACATTCAAAAGGTCCTGGGATTGATTTAAAATACAAAACAACTACAATTAAAAATAAAGTACTCAGGAAAAAGTTAAAGAAGAAAGAACAAGCTATACAAAAAGCAGCTGAAGCTTCTGCTCGGAGTGAATTACTACTCACAGAAGAGTATGGTTTCTTGGAAGCTGAACCTGGAGAAACTACTACTCAGTATCGACAAAAACAAATTGCAGAAAGTGTGGACATAACAAGTGCAACCAAAAGATTCAAACTGGACTTGCAATTTGGTTCCTATTGCTTCAGATACACTAGAAATGGCAGGCATTTACTTCTGGGTGGGAAGCAAGGTCATGTTGCAGCTTTTGACTGGGTGACTAAGAAGATGGCCTGTGAAATAAATGTAATGGAGTCTGTACATGATGTCGCATGGTTGCATCAGGAAACCATGTTTGCAGTAGCACAGAAAAATTGGGTTTATATTTATGACAATCAGGGAGTGGAGTTACACTGCTTAAAAAGAATGAATAATGTAACAAGACTGGAGTTTTTGCCCTACCATTTTTTGCTCGCCAGTGGATCCACAGATGGTAATGTGGCCTGGTTAGATGTATCCATAGGCAAGATTATTGCTCGTTTTAATACAAATGTTGGGAGAATATCTGTGAGTTTCTAAAAAATTATCTTGATTTTAACCACTATATTTTGAATGTTTATTAAAAATTATTCATTTATGGTAGGTCATGACACAAAATCCAAGTAGAGCAGTCTTATGTGTGGGAGATTCAAAAGGAGTAGTATCCATGTGGTCTCCTAATGAACACAAACCATTGGCTAAAATGTTGTGTCATAAACTTCCAATCATGACATGTACTGTACATCCATATGGAACTTACATGGCAACAAGTTGCGCAGATAAATCCGTAAAGATATGGGACGTTAGACAATTAGCAGGACCAGTCAACCAAATGTATCTTCGTTCTCCCGCTTTTCGTATGTCATACAGCCAGCGTGGTTTGCTCGCCCTTGCAATGGGCAATGTGGTGGAAGTTCTTAAGTAATACTCTAATTTATAATCAGATATAATTAACGAATTAGTTATAACAATTATTTAATTGTAATTGTAATTATTTTTATTAGAGAGACTTCAGGCGAGCTCAAACCGTATATACGACATAAAACTGCCCGTTATGTGTGCTGCGCACGATTTTGTCCGTATGAAGACGTATTGGGAGTCTCCACAGTTAATGAATTTTCGTCAGTGCTGGTGCCAGGAAGTGCGGAAGCAAACTACGACGCGCTCGAAGTCAATCCGTTCCAGAATAAAAAGCAGCGACAAGAAGCGGAAGTAAAAGCACTTTTGGAGAAGATACAGCCGGAATTTATTACTCTCGATACGACTAATATAGCGGAGGTTGATGTACCTACTTTGAAAGACAAAGTAGAAGCAAAGAAGAATCTTTTGGTAAGTAATAAAAGAAAACACCTCAAAATGCAGATCCATTGCATTTTATTATTGCATTCTTATGATCATTGAATCACCAAATAAATATTTTATAATCGTAATTTCTTTTTTAAGTATATTAAGCCAAAGTCGATAGACTTCAAACCCCGACAAACAAGAGCTAAAGGAAAAGGTGGCACTGCAAAAATAATAAAAACTAAAAAGATATTGAAAGATTTAAATCGTAGAGTAAGTATTTTGTATATACCGAACCTCGATCTATCTTCGACGTTTATAAAACGGATTTTAATCATATAAATATTATTATTTTCAGGAAACGATTAAAGCGCTTCGTGAAATGACAGAAGAGGTAGCACCGAAGAAACCCGAAAAACCACGCAAAGATTATGGCGTATTGAATAGATTTTTACCAAAATAAAGATCAATATTATGAATAAGAGTCTTATTTTAATTTTCCATTATATTTCAAACTATTATAAATAGGTATTAGACATTTTTTAATCAACAGAACGTTGATACTATATATAAATTGCCTTTGAGTTTATTCTGCTCGAATCTCTTCATTTCTTAATACAACTCGATGGTTGCGTCCAGAAAACAGCTGATCAGTGAGTGGTCAGTGATTATTGGTCCTTACTGTTAGATCCCTAACTTTGGACCAATTATGTTGACTAATTACTCAACCGTTGTGTTTCCTGAACGCACCCAATATATATGTAGGCTAGATGAATTTTTACTTTTAAGTAGTACGACTTGACAGATCATACGAACATTCAGGGATGCTGAATCAGTTACATTTGCAGTATGCAGAAAGCGCGTAGATGGGATGGCTCTTCAGCTTCTATATACTACTAGGGGTGGGACCCGATTGACCACGATAGGATTGGACACAGATTGTAATGATTGGTTCGACCTACTAATTCACTAGATAATTTTTTTCATCGGTTGGTCGTGTCCAATCATACCGTGGTCAATCGGAACGCTCCCTACTACTAGTATAGACTACAATGGTTGCTTTCCAACAAGAAATACAAGTCGGCACAAGTATCATTCTATCTTTGTTACTCACTAAATGTGGAATAAAGATAGAATGATGTTTGTGTCGACTTGTCTCTTGTTGGAAAACAACCTATATACTATTAGACTGCTAACTTCGACTCAGGGCTGCGTTTAAAAACGTCACTCGAGTACTCTTCCTTTCTTTTTATCTCACTCTTGTATCTCGCTCACTCCAACATAACGGGTACACTTGGGTGACGTTTCCGAACGCAGCCCAGGGTGCAAACCCATGCAGCGGAATGCGGAACGAGAGCGGAACCAATCACGAGCGTTCTACAGTTTTCGTTCGTGATTGCTTCCGCTTGTGATTGGTTCCGCTCTCGTTCCGCGCTCTACTATTCCGCTGCATAGGTTTGCACCCTTAGACTGATATTTCACGTGTCGTACGACAAGTTTTTTGGATACGTTCATTGGTTGACGAACAAAGAACCTAGAAATACTCTATTCGCCAACCAATAAACGTATCCGAAAAGCTTGTCGTACGACACGTGAAATAGCACCCTTAGTTAGCAATCTAGTTTAGTGTAGACATCTGTGATCCACATCTTCGGCTGTGTTCCAATATTCACTACAGTAAAAATGTATAGTTTATGTCACGTATACTGTACGTTTTCAGTACTGGCAGTGAATATCAGAACACAGCCTTCGATATGTTTTGAGATTTAAGGTACGGGTCCAATGTCCGATGTACGACGTCCGATATCCAATAGGAGAACAGCTTTCCAATGGAGAATTAAATTCTCTAATAGAAAGCTGTTCTCTTATTGGATATCGGACGTCGTACGTCGGACATCGGACGCAGTGTGAATCCTGCATTAAGCTCCGCTCCATCGACCAAAGACCGGGAAATTTAAATGTATTTTAAAATGTACTAATTTAATTAAAATATATTTTGTATATCCTGTATAATATATATTAAATAATATAAATAAAATATTATATAAATAAAAATAATAAATATTATTTACTTATAATATTATATGAATAAAAATTTAAGCCACTTGACGATAACTGACGACTATAGCCGATATTCATAGTCGAATTTTATTTCAAGACCGTCTTAAGTAATATCTTAAGATGCGAATACGGTTCTGTGGCCGGTATTCATAGTCGAATCTTATTTCAAGACTGTCTTAAGTAATGTTTTAAGATGCGAATACGGCTCTGTGATTGGTTCATGACATTTTAAGACAATATTTAAGATGATCTTAAATATAAGATCGGAATATCTATGAATACCGGCCTATGAATACCGGCCAATGACTCGATAAATAACGACACTTTAGTTCTCGCACTCCTCACTTGGTCAATGATAGCGTGACATATCTTGGCTACGAGTCTGAAGTTAGTTACTGGCAATCCATACTTCTATAGTCAAAGCTGCATATTTGTATCGCGCTCGACTGTGTGCTGGACGTAAAATTCGTGGCTAAATCTGTCGCAACTGGCTGTCGATTCGAATTTATTCTTGACAGTGTTCTGTTTTCGTCCATGCTGTTTATAGATTTCATATATCAGGAAAAATTAGTCACGATATAATTATGAAGAGAGTTATCATTTTTGTGAATGGAACTGATGTTAATGGCAAGGTGGTCTCACGTGTTTTTTCGTAGTGAATTACATTTGGTCTTTGGTGCTTAATATTATTTTGTTATTTGCAAAGCAAATACTAGTGCTTTTTTATTGCACATATCTTTTCGCGACTGAAATTTTCTTACGTCGTTTACACAGTGCTCAATAGTAATATTTAATGTAAGCAGTTTATTTCATTGTATAAATTTTTGCTTTTGACAGGTGTTTGTAGTGACTCATTCATTGGATGAATTGTTGACAGCAGCTAGTACAAAATTCGAAATAACCGCGAAGAAAATCTTTACATCACAAGGTGGAGAAATTGATGATATCAAGTTGATAAGGTAAAATGTTTATTTGTTTAATTCCTCTTCAATAAAAAATATTTTATCTTAACATATTCCAATACTTGCTATATTTTACTTTTACTGCAAAAATACTTTGTTATATTATACTTGTGACACTTTATTTTTACTGACTATTGAATAACATTAAACAATTCTTTTTCTTACAGGGATGATGATATTTTGTATGTTTCAAGTGGAGAGGATTTTATACATAAGGATAAAATATGTAATCACAATCAGCTAAATAGGAATTCAGAATGGATCACACTGAATGTCGGTGGAAAATATTTTACCACAACTAGAGATACTTTGACAAAGAAGGAACCTATGAGTATGTTAGCTAGGTGAGTTATCTGTTTCTGATTGCTACTCATTGTTGTGTATACCTGAATAACTAGGCTTGAAATTAATTTTATATTAAATATAAAGTTTGCATATTTTTTGAGGAATTGTTGAATGAAAACAAAATGGAACATGACTCTTAATTGTTAAAATTAATGACAAATGAAGTGAATGAGAGACATTTACGTTGTATTAAACATATTAAAATGATATGATACTAATGTAAAACATTATATACAGAATGTTTACAGAGCCTGAAGATGCAGAGCATGCAATGCAGCCAAGCAGGCGAGATTATCAGGGAGCATATTTAATAGACAGAAGTCCTACATATTTTGAGCCATTATTAAATTACTTGAGGCATGGTCAGGTGATACTTGACTCTAATGTTAATGTAGCTGGTACATATTTTTAAATCTGATTTGTTGGTGCGATATAAGGTATTATCTGTAAGTAAGTGAATATTCTGACCCAGGTGTATTGGCGGAGGCACGTTTTTACGGTATCGAAGGCGCCATTCGAATTCTCACCACAATGGTGGAAAAGGAGGAACTGCAAAAGGATGGTCTTATATCCCTAACTCGCAGGGATGTACTTAAAGCGATTATGTCGACACCGACTAGTGCGGAACTCAGGTTCCAAGGAGTCGATTTTGTAGGAGCAGATCTTTCAAAACTAGATCTCAGGCATATTAATTTCAAGGTATGTTAAATACATGCATTGTACTTATGTGCATTGAGGATTATAAGATAATCAGTATTGCAAGAACGACGCTAGTCATAGGGAATCTCATCTACATTTATGCGTTTTTCGTTTTTATAGTACGCTATCATGCATCATTGCAGTCTGGTGGGCGCTAATCTATCAGGATGTTGTTTTGAGCGCGCTGACTTATCTCACGCCAATCTGCAAGGCGCGCAGCTCGTATGCGTCAAAATGTTGTGCGCGAATTTAGCCGCGGCCAATTTACACTCGTGCAATTTCGAGGACCCCGGCGGTCTGTCAGCGAATATGGAAGGAGTGAATCTGAAGGGTGCTAATCTCGAAGGCAGCAACATGGCGGCCGTAAATCTTCGAGTAGCCACATTAAAAAACGCTAATCTTAGGAATTGCGACTTGAGATCCGCTGTTTTGGCTGGCGCCGATTTAGAGGTGCTGTTCATGTTATTACATATATTGCTTTGTTGGACTCAGTGTTGACATAATTTTGATTCTCTATTCTTGTTTCCCACACAACACAACGATCAAAATCGGGACATAAGACGTCTAAAAGACATCTTAAAAACATCTCTCGGACGTCTCTAAGATGTCTTTAAGACATTTTTATGTTCCGATTTTAGACGTTGTGTTGTATGAATCCTTAATATCATATATATATATATATATATATATATATATATATATATATATATATATATAT